CATCTTCAGTATATAAAGTAAAATAAAATAAATTTACATAAGTCTTTGGACATTGTCAAAGTAAAATTGCTAAATATAACGATAATTAAACAAATAAAACACGAAACAGTAATCATGGGGAGAAACTACAGCAAGAAAACACAACAAAAAAAAGGGTAAAATCAGTAATACGAACATATTAAAAATGTATAATTTAAATGAAGACTGCATGTTGTTCAGTGTTGGAGAGTGCTGTTTGATGTGGAGGGTTTCTTTAATCAATAATTCCAGGTCAGTATTAGACTTGCAGAGGATAGAGAAATTTGATAGTATAGGTTGATGTCCTGTTTCTTCACAATGTTGGCGTATAGAGGAAACACAGGGATTACTCAATTTTTTTTGCGTTTTGATGGAAATTCTCATATGTTCATAGGCTCTGACTTTTAAATGGCGTTTGGTTTTGTAACAAAGTTTATCTATGTCCCCCTTTTGTCAATAAACAATGTTGTATATCATAAGTGTTGTAATCTTGTTTATTGTGAAACCTATTATTGTTAGCAAAGTACTGCATTTCGTAACAAGTGAAAATCTACAAATCTACAGGTCAGTTGCAAAATCCCTTCACGTTTCACAGACAACAGTACGAGATATAGTCATTATGTGTTTCGATCTATAAACGATGCCAGCAGGTTATGGATTCACTAAGATGGTGCTTCCAGTCGAACTTCTAGTTCAACCAACGTATATATAAAGCAGCTAGAGAATGAAACAAAAGCTCATGCTATTTCATATGAAGACATGTTTTCTTCATGTCGCTGGACACAACACCTATGGATTTCTGTGTAATTAGACAGTTGAAATAATCACAGAGAAACCATTGTCCTTGAACATTAGATGGATTATAAAAAGCATGCAAAGAGGAATGAGTGCTTTGGACATAACAGCCTTAGGACAAAAGTGGGAACTATGCTCAAACAGAGCACAATCGAATGAGGCGACTCGGACTGTAACACCGCACGCAACCACCTTAGTTTATATTACGTTTTAAAACAACTTTTTAATGAAATGCTTGTTTATTGTTTATATGTTACTTCACATTTTATATAATTTTCATATTGGTAGGTTTACACTAAGTTTTTTCTAACATTAGATGCTAAGAATGTTGTGTTTTATCAATGCTTAAATTTGTTGATGCTTTTTTAATCGTACACGACTTGAAATTGAACTGATACATGCTGATATTTTATATGGTAGTAAAATAAACTATGCCTTCCTATAATATTGGATTAGACTGTTTTAAGGTTTGTAACCTTACTATGAATCCAGCTTGAACCGGCAAACCTGATATATTTTTGTTGGGTAGGTGGGTCTTGCTGTACATAAAGTTTACTTTATGAAGCTATCAATATGAGAAGATGGAGCTGTCGCTAACTTAGTTTGCCTACTGGTGATTGACTTAACTATAGTTTGTGACGTCGATTGGGATTGCTTGAAGAGTATTG